TGATCCTCTAACTCCTGCATCCTGAGGTGAGGTCCTGGGCAGAGGTGTATCACGAACCACCTCTGAGCTCGGCTTCACACAACCACCTTCTTCCTGACTCTGAACTGGGCCATGCACGCACTAGCAGAAGCAGGCAGCCTCCCAGGTTTTCTTCCAGTGCCAAGTCAATTTCTTTCAGCACAAATGGCTCATCATCCTTTGTTGGTTATTTGCTTCAGTCAGCTAGCTGGGCATTCTTCGTGCCTTGTCACTTCAGTGAGAGGCTGAAGGGCACCTAGGGCTCAGGCTAGCAACATCAACAGTGCTTGGTGGAGGCAGCTAAAAGGCTGCACAGGGGCTCTTTCCAGAAAGGCTGAATGGGAGGCTGGATGCCCTCTAATCCCTCCACCCCGCCAAGGGCAGAGTAAGATGACAAGGGCTTCCTTGGTGGAGCATCTGCATTCCGAGCAGTGTGCAGCTCTTCTGTGTGGTACTCTTCCATGCAACAAACATCTGGCAACATCTGCAGCCTCCACTCACAACATTCCTAGGAACACTGCTTCCCACACAGTGCAGAACTTCAACTGGGCCACAAAGACTACCCCACAGTGCAAATCACTGCCCTTGGAACTCAAGAGGAAGTCCCAGGCCCAGCTCTCCACCTCTAGGCACCACCAAGCAGAACTGCAGCTGCTGCATGTCAGGAGGCTCCAGATACCCTACACAGCTGGTCTGCAATTGGGCAACATGACCCAGCCTGCTCTTGCCATTTTCCAATTGGGTTCCATATACCACCTGGAATAAACCCTACAGGAATATTGTTCTACCATGAGGTGAAACTGCACTTCAAACCACCACCACAATCTGAGTGTGGTGGCTCATGACTGTAATCCCAGCACTCAGGAGGCTGGAGGAGTGCTGCAAGTTCAAAACCAACTTGGGTACACTGGGTCTCTGTGAGACCCTACACAAAAAAACCATCACAAAAGAAAAAAAGGTCAACGTTAGAGAGCAGCACACAAAGCAGACCTCCTGTTTTCTGGTGGAGAGAAGCATGGGCTACTGGGGATGACATCCCAGGGCAGCAGGTTGAGAAGTCTTGCCGAGCTCTGCAGAGAAATGTCTGATGACTTGGGGCTGGACCCTCAGTGATGGTCAAGGCCCATCCTGTCTTCCCACCCTGCTTCCCATAGCCAGGAACAGGAAGCCTGCTGCTCAGCTGGAGGGTCACACACCCAGGCCTGAGTCGGCGCCATTTTCTTTTTCTTTATTTGTCTACATTCAGCTGAACTTAGGTGTACTGCCTGAATGATCCAGACATAAAAAAAGATTTGAGCCGGGTGTGATGGCGCACGTCTTTAATCCCAGCATTCGGGAGGCAGAGGGAGGCGGATCACTGTGAGTTCAAGGCCAGCCTAGTCTACATAGTGGGTTCCAGGACAGCTGGGGCTACAGGGAGATCCTGTCTCAAAAAGACAAAAAAAAAAAAAACAACAACAAAAACCCCACTCTTTCCCACTGTTTTTTAAAATAAAATCTTCACTTATAAAACAAACACTAAAGCATTAAAATACAGAAAGCTCATTGAACTCACTTCACAAAAGCATTAACAGATGCCATATCCCTCCATGACTATTAAAGACCAGCCAATGCCACACCAACAGCAGGTATAAATAGACAGAGGGATACCAAACGGCAACAACTCGGAATCTTTCCCACTGTTTTTTAAAATAAAATCTTCACTTATAAAACAAACACTAAAGCATTAAAATACAGAAAGCTCATTGAACTCACTTCACAAAAGCATTAACAGATGCCATATCCCTCCATGACTATTAAAGACCAGCCAATGCCACACCAACAGCAGGTATAAATAGACAGAGGGATACCAAACGGCAACAACTCGGAAGGCTACTCAGACAAGGGTGTAATGACAACTAACAAACCATTGAAGACATAAAGTCCCAAACACAGCTAAACACGAGTCACAACATGGGTCTCCAGGGGACCACTGCACCTCACAACACAGCAACGTGGACGGGTGGGAGCGCCTGCCGCGCCAGTGGACATGTTAACTGGTGATGAGTAGAACTGAATCTCCCAAAGGGCTGTAAGTGCAGAAGGTACGTGTCAGCAGCCCAGGGCCTTTATCTGTACTGGTAGCTCATGCTATGGTCTGTGTTCCGGCCATAGCCACCCTGTGAGGACTGGTAGGAGCTGGCGGGGCCACTGTAGTTCTGGCTGGATCCTGGGGAGTTGTAGTTTGACTGTGATGAATAGGCTCCTGCAAGAGAAAAGGGAGGTTAGAGATAAAGGACAAGAGCCCTGGGCACCAGCTGCACCTGAGCCACTTGCCCACCTGGGCAGTCCCACCTGCTCTACTTTTGTCCTACAGGCCTTTCACTCATCACTGGGTCTGTGTGTCATCAATAGCCTGAGAGGTGGGACAGCTGTAACTGGCTTCTAGGGTCACTGAGGACCCCCACAGAAAAATCAACAGGTGTGGGAAAGAGTCCAGGTCTCAAAAGACTCCCTCAGAGGCCACCAGCAGCTACTAGTATAGTTCCATTCAATGTCCCTCTCCTGCCAGTTCCCACCCCCTGTTGGGCCACCTGTTACCCAGGCCCACCTTGTTTGCCTTGGTATGAAGAGCTTCCCCCAGAACCTCCGCCGTAGCCCCCATGTGAGCCTGTGTTGTAGGATGACCCGCCTGAGCCATAGCTGTTCCCGCTGCTTCGGCCTCCACTACCACTGTAGTCTGGGAGAGAGAAGTCAAGTGTGGTTAGGGCCTGGGCCAGGCATGGTTGGGGCAAATGGGGGAAGTCTTTGCATACCCCTCTGTGGGCTTAACTCTGGCAAATGTCAACCCAATAATAAGTGCCAGGGTCCAAGGACGGCCCTGAAGAATCAGTCTGCTAAGCTACTCTGAAGCCTTCCTTCCCACCTGCCTCTCCCACCCAAGCCTATCTGCCACAAGTCAGGGGATTCACACTGGCCAGGGACTATGGTGGACTCTGCTCCCCGGGTTTGCTTCCACCTGGCACACATTGTCTTCTCCTGGCCTACACATGCACAGCTTCTGCTTACTGCTCAGTCTTACTGGTGACTGCTCTTCTGTCATGAGGACAAGCCTACACCTACCCTGCCCAGCTGGGCCACCAGTGCAACTGAGGCCCTAGCTTTACATGGAATGCCTGGGAAGGGACTGGCAGAGACGCAAGGTGGTGTTGCCAGGGTCCTGCTAATAACCGCCCATGGCCAAGTCTGGGCTCCTCATGGTCCCTGGGCTGATCCTGGGCTTCTGCCCCTCCCAGGGGTGCAAGGCTGGCTGTCCCCAATCAGGCAGAGGGGCTGGAAGCCAACTCACTGAATTTGCTGTCGTAGCTGTATTCGGAGCCCCCGCCCCCAGGGGAGTTGTAGGAGTTGGAGTAGGAGGAGTAGCTGCCCTGGCCATGGCTGTAGGCTTTCTGCTTGCCCTGTGGCGGGCCGTAGCTGCTGTACTGGCTCTGGTTGTAAGACTGCTGCTGGCCCTGGTGGGACTGGTAGCCCGAGCTGTAGGAGGGTTTCTGCTGGCCCCCATGAGGCGGCTTCTTCCCAGCGTGTTTCGGGGGCACTGGTGAGTTGTAGCTGTCTCCTTGATAGTAGGAGCTGTAGCTGGATGAGCCCCCGCCGCCCCCGCCGCCGCCACCACCAGCATTCCCAGAATGCCCTCCATTGCTGTAGAACTGACCTAAACAGGGAGGCAGTGGGTCAGGTGGAGGATCAGGAGAGCAAGGGGCCGGGAGGGGAAGGAGAGTAGAGGCCGTGGGCCCTGAAGGCTGGCCTGCAGCCTGCTGCTCTGTGTGAGGAACAGGACAGAACGTGGCTCTGCTGCTGCAGCGCAGCCTGGCTCTGGCTGGTCCAGCCTCCAGCTCCACTCACCCTCAGCTGATGACAAGCAGCAACACGGCAGCGGCTTTGCAGCAGATGTCAACATTACAATGGGATGGGCTTCGAGCATGACGACATTCAGGACTAGCTGACGGCTACCCAGATGTCCCCAACGGTGACGAAAAAAGCAAAGCCCCGGGAAGCAGCGGCCCTCCCCACCCTCCTCTCCCCTCTGTGCTAGGAACAAGCTGAGCAGCCACAAGCCTTAGGGACCCAAGGAGACACCATGCAACGAGACCCCTAAAACTATCTTTCTTCAAAGAATTGACTTGAGCCTCAGACAAATGAGGTGGGTGCCTGCCTGCCTGTCCTGAGGGAGCACAGTGCATCCCTAGCTGGCAGGAGTGACAGGCTGGCATTGTGGTTGCTACATTCTCAGGCCTTCCAACTTCTGGTCACTGGGCTTGTCAAGGCACAACCCTGCTAGTGACTCTGGTGGAACAAGAAGTGGGGCTGGGCTAAGAAACCACTTTGGGCCCACTTCACAAGGAGCACTGGCTCCAAACTCATGGGACTCATGAGGCTGGCATCCAGGCTACTGGGCAGCTGCAGCCAACATTCCCTGTTCCTCAACAGGGCCATGGAGTCCCTGGACTTCTGAAGCAGCCGATCCTTAGCCCACAGCGAGCCCCAGAATAGGTAGGAGGGAGATAGGGGTAGGGAGGGATTCCCAATACAGATTGTCCTTCCTTCTCAGGTTGAGAACAGAGGCCCCCTACCCACCCCATGGATGTCCCCCTAAACCTCCCCACTACTCGAGCTACATCCCCCATGCTGTACTGGCTACCAGCACAAGCCCGGGGAGATGCACTATCAACCAGTGTATAAGCCTGTGTTCTTCAGGCAGGTCTCCTTTCCCCTCCCCCAAAAGCCACAACACTGCAGAGAAGGACAGGATATATCCCACAATGCAAGAAAGCAAAGATGTGGCGGCTCAGTGAGGAGACTGGGGAGGCCCAGTGCTTGCTTTAGAATCCCATGAACAGCACCACCCACCCCATCCCTCCCCTGGCTTCCCCAGGGGTCCTGCACTGAGCAACTGTGTTGCCCGCCTGAAGCCGGGAATGAATGAAGACGCCAGTACCGAGGGCTCATTACTTTAACATGTATTCATTTTAAAAAACGAATAAAGGGGAGGTTTTCAATATCACTCAGGAGAACTATTTCCTGGTATAAAAAGACATTATTCGCAAACAGGTTCTTAAAAAACAAACAAACAAACAAAGAAAAAAAAAACCACATGCAAAGTCTTAAAAAGTTTCACTGAATGTTTCAAACCTTGGGAACAAATCACGCAGTAACCATTTGACCAGTTTTTGCCCGAATAAGCGCCAAATATTGCAAGCCAAAACAGGGAGGTCTACAACGAAGACCAGGCAGAGGCCAGAGCCACAGGACCCGGGGGGGCTCCTCACTGGACAGGAGGGGTCTCCAGGAACAGCCCTGAGGGCCTTACACCTTTATATAGAGGAAGAAGCTTCCAGGAGTCTGTGGTAGCCTGCCTGGCAGTGCAGGTCTCAGCAAGACCAAAGGCAGCTCTTTGCTGGAAAAACAATCTGGAATGTGCTGGCTCTTCCTACTCAGTATTAAAGCCCCACAGTAAAAACCAAAAACCAACCCCAAAGTCCACACATCTGCAGCTGTCATCAGGACTTGCAAAATTTCACACTTTTTCTGCCCCCCTTCAAGCCTGTCTTGTTTCTCGCATGTAATGGAAGCGCAGTTTTGATACCTTTGAGAGTTCACTCTAGCTAAACCAGTCACAGATTCACTGCACCCAACAGGGACCCACCAGAGCATTAGTTACAGGGTGCAGGAGTTGGCTTAGCGTGATGCACAGTTCCCCGCCGTCCTGCAGTTTACACACTTGTTAAAAACAAAGAAAAATGTTGCTTGCTCTGGATTCAGGTGTGCTGAAAAGTTTTCATTACTGTCAAAGGCATCAACCAGATGTGGGAATTTGTGGAAAGGTTAAAAATTCATACAAAACCTGCTGTAAATTAAGACAAAGGTAGATTCAAATGCATCATTATCTGTCTCTTTAAATAAAGTAACGCTTTCCATAAAAAGCAAAGGTGGGCTTTTGCCTTGATGCTGAACAACGCTGGCTCTAGAATTCTGTGCAAGACTGCACAAAAAAATACATTCTCTGAGAAAAGGGTTTTTCCACTTAGTGTAAGAACTTCGAAATGACCAAGTTCAAAGGCAAATTCAGGATAAAAACTGCCATTGTCTTAAAGTCTGCAGGCTAAGAGTTTCAGACAAGCTGCGGTGGAAAGCCACGGTTGAGAACCCCAGTGAAGCACAGGGACACAGCACGGACACTTTGGGTTTTGGAGTTGGAGGAAATTGGAGTAAAAAGTTGATTTTGTGTGCAATACTTTTAGACGCTCTAGGAAGACCCAAAATCATGATAGCCGTAGCAGTCTGTGAAAAAGTCACCTACAAAAGGAGGAGACAGAGCAGAGACAAGAAATTAGAATTCTTCTGAAAAAGGGCAGAGCGCCACAATTGAAACTCAGGTTTTTAGATTTCTCTGCTCATGTGACCCCCCAATGAAGGCTCCTTCTCAAGACAGAGGGTGCGTGGGCAGGAGAGGCGCATTCACAGAGACCGGTGCTTACAGCAGAGAAATGTAAAATGCCGGCTTCTAAGAAGCTCGAAGTACTGGAATGGCATTTAGTACTTCAAACACCAAGGACTAACTATAGGGACAGGGGCTGAAGGGACACGGACCTAATCACCACAAAAAGGTGTGGCAGTGGCCCCTGAGCCTCAGGGAGGCTTCGGCCAGCGCTCTACACTAACTCAGGCCTAGACTATGCTGCTGCCTTCCCAAGAGAGACAGAGAGAAGCATACACTTACTGTAGCCCGCTGTTGCAGAGTTGCTGCCGTACCCATAGCTGCCATACCCAGTACCTGCAAAAGAGCAGACAGGTCAGAGGTGGACGTATGCCTGCCATTCCCAGGAAAGACATACACATCCTGGAGCACACAAGCAGGGGACAGGAAGGAGTAGACTCTCACCTGCATTCATGTAGCCTCCATGGTTGGCACCACCAAATCCTCGCCCTCGCCCTCGGCCACGGATGTTGCCCCCTCGACCCCGGCCACGGAGATTAGGGGGTGGAGGCACTTCATTGTGCATGGGGCCTCCCATACCAAAGCCAGGGTTGTGTGGCTGAACAAGAGGGCACAGAGGAGTAAGGCTCAGCCCACCCTCAGATCAGCAGAATTCCCATACAGGCCCCAGGGGTCATGGGTGAACACTTACTTTGGCAGCAAATTTGGGTCCACCTCTGACAGGTACTGGAGTTCTTTTCTTCTTGTTGGCTTCAAGGGTGAGGGGGGCATCTGGGAAAAGTTTTTCCAACGCAGCAAGGGCAGCATAAGCCTTCGCCACCTTTTTGTTTGAACCAGCACCTTGAAACTTCTGTCCATCCACCTCAACCTGCAACAATACACAGGGGTGAGGCTGACCCATGCCTCCTCCAGGTGAAAGCACTGCTCAGAGCCTTGCTGTGGAGGCCAGGGTAACCCCGAAAGAACCTGCTCACTCACCTCCATGACAAATCTCTTGTCGTGGCTGCCACCGGTCTCAGAAATGAGCTCATATTTGAGGCCACGCCTCTTCTCGTTGAGCTCCATAACTGGGTTCTTGCCATGCTTAGTCAAGATTGGGCCCTGCTGTTGGACGTCCTCAGGCAAAACACAAAAGAAAACCAACCAACTGAGCTTTGGGCATTCTGTGCAGGCAGCACTGGTCAAAGGACCTTCCTCTCAAGGCTCTGTGGAATCTGGACCTGCCTATGTATCTGCTCCATAAATGGGAACCTCTCAGAGATGTGACCAACTTAATCCACACCACTGTAGTGCCAACCCCCAGCTCCCAGGGCAGGCAACTGGTTAAAAAAGTCTGGCAGGGGTGGCCAACCTTTTGACACTTCAAAATGTTATCGAATCCAAGGTTCACACAAATGAAGCCAGCAAGATAGATTAGTGATTAAAGGTTCTTGCCACGCCAGAACCAACATGGTGGAAAGAGAAAACCAACTTCTGACTTCCACACATTAACTGTGGTACACATACACATTAAATAAATTAGTAAATGTAAAAAAAAAATGGAAGTTGCCAAAAGGCTTAAAAAATGTTCACACATTACAACCATGTAACAGGAAAAATTTTGTAAACAAATCTTAGAATGTTTGAAATAACTGTGACTGTATTCTGTGCTGGGCCACAGAACGGATGCACATGGCCTGTTCTGGAGTGGGAGATTAAGGATGGACTAGTAGCTGCCTGCTCCACCCTGTGACCACCACGCATGTACTTGTTCCTAGCATCCACCATGGGCTCACCTCAGCAGTGGTGTCTGAAGTGAAGGTGGAACTAGGGGTTGAAACAGCTTCTACCACAGGGGGTGGAGCTACTACTGTGGGCCTCAAATCAGACTCCTCAGCTGAGTCCTCCCCTTTGCTTGAGTCTCTGCCTTCAGCGCCTGTTGGCAAGCCCATGTCCTGTAACACCTGTAAAGCAAACAGACCCAGGGTCCAGGTGAGGGAGGATCTGTGGAGAGCCATCCACCCAGGTCCTCCCCTATACTCCACCTTGGGACAATCCTAGCTTCTTGCAAGAATTTACTGTTTTGCGGTTTTTTCACCCCCATATAAGTTCCCCAGGATGCCCTGATGCCCAGCCATGTTTGAGGACCCCCTAAAAGTGTCTTTGCTACATGTGACTTGGCAAATGTTCAAATACCTATTTCTATGTTTTTATATATCCTTTCAAAAATGCATATTGCTGGCCTGCAAGCTGTTCCAAAGTCAGAAAATGCTTTTTCTGACTGGAAGGGAACACCCAGCAGACACACTTACCTTTACGGCCACGTGTAGTTTGGCGGTCTTTTTGGATGGTCCAGAGGCCTCAAAGGAACTACCATCCACCTCCACAGACATAGTGAAGATAGGAGCGTGGACAGGGCCTGTCTGTGAGACCAACTTATACTGCAGGCCTGGCTTCAGCTGGTTCAGCCTCATCAGAGCATTCATTGCCTGGGGAGGCTCCGCCTTCTCTTCTGAGAAGGAAAGAGGGCAGTGTTGGGTGAGATTCGCACAGGCCTCACAGAAGAGCTGAAGCCTGGAGATTGCTGCAGGACCTTGTGAAAGGCCTGGCCTGCAGCCACCAATGGGCACAGTTTACCAGCATGCCATCTCTCTGCACTCATGCACAGTTATTAGGTATTTCTAGACAGTGTGGGCATAGGAAAGATCCTTACTCTATCGGTCTAGACCTGAAGTGAAAGTAATTCTCCTGCCTCAGCCTCACAGGTGCTGGGAGTACAGGTGTGAGCCACCATCCTCAGACAGAAACATCAAGGGCTGGTAAAACAAGTGTTATGCAGTGTGAGGACCTAAGAATTTGGATGTTCAGAACCCACATGAAGCTGGATGCAACAGCACACATCTGAACACATCTGTGACCTCAGCACTGCTATGGCAAGATGGGAAGTGGAGAAAGAATCTCCAGAAGCTTAGAGGCCAGCAAGGCTGGCGCACATAGCAGTGAAAAACAAAGAGACTCTGAAACAAGTAGAAGGTGAGGACAGTTACCCAAGGATGTCCACTTCTACCTAACCAGAGCAGCATGCGCACACCTACACTCAAATCACACATACACACAAGAGATAAATAGAATAAAGCAAGGATAGACACCCTAGCACTCACTTTCAGGTTGTGACAGGACCAGCCAGGGCAGATGCATACCTTTCTTTTGGATCTTCTTCTTCTTTTTACTGGGGGACTTCTCTTCCCCATCCTCCTCCATGGGGCGTTTCATGGGTGTGATGGCATAGGTGGTGCTAGGAGGAATTTGAACTGAAAGGAGACCGGGTGGAAGGAGCTGAGATGCAGGCAGCCTCTCTGGAAGGAGCCCAGACCCCAGGCATCCCACAAGCCCTTACCAATATAGTCCACTGGGTTCTCATTCTTTGGTTTCTTGGGCATCTTGGAAGGCAGGGGGTCCATCCCCAGGACTTTATGGAGCTGGCCAAATGCAGCGAGTCGCAGGGCATGCTGGAGAAGGGGAAGAGGCGTCTTGACTCAACTACCCTGAGCCGAAGCTACGGTATGTACACTCACTAATGCCTTCTGAGACGAGAGGAGTTAGGGGCTGCTAATGCTCTCCACTATGTCAACAAGGGGTCCCCTGACAGCCAGGGTAGGGCCTGACAGCTCGGTCCCAGCCTTGCTGTGGGGGAGGGCCAGCCTGTGACCACCCCCCTTGAGAGGAATACAGGAGACGCCAACCTGGGGACTGGTTGCCACAAGGAGCCAGGTGGTAGGCCTGCCAGGGCAGAGTCCCAGAGCAGTACTCAGAGCAAAGCCATTGCCCACTGCCCTTGGTGCGTTAACATGGCACGCAGGCAGACTGAAGGGTAACCACCACGTATGGCGCCTGGGGAAAGAAGCCCAGATTGGGGCGCCCTGTATCAGACACCATGCCTCTACCCTGGTCCCCGACCTGAACCTATGATCCGATCCAGGGGCTGCCCTGAGAATGTCCAGTAATGGAACTGGGAGCCAGTGAGTGCAGACTGGGTAAGGGCTCACATTGGCAATGGAGACGACTATACCTGCGCACTCTGTGTGATATCTTCCCGTTGCTGTCTGTCTAGATGCCCAATAGCATCAGTGGCTTCTTTTTCACAAGGGTCATAAATGCCAGAACCATCTGAAGGCAGGAAACAAGGAAGATATGCAGAGATTATCTCTTGGCATCTCTGAAGAGTTGTGCTGGCTGAGGGAACCAGGTGTGTTACCCCCCACGCCCCATCCACACCCAGCTCTGAAAAACACACCGAGCTGGGTGACCCACTCGGCATCCAGCCCTTGACATTTGAAATAAACCACATGTGTCTCAGAGCAACAAAGCCACAAGGAGTGGGTCACCACCGCCCCCGGGTCCGCCTTCCAATTCCTGGCTGCGGATCCGGTGCAGGGCTGGATATGATGGTGCAAGAGGGTAGTCACATGCTTCGCCTTAGCGGGGACATGGAACTGCTGTTGCCCTAACCCAGTCAGTGGACCAGTGAGGTGATGGCTACAGGGCCTTCATCCCTGTCCTTTCCCTGTCACTTGCAAAGCACAAGGCCCCAACCTGGCATCACGATGCCGGACGCCAGGCACTCCAGCACTCTCCGCAGGGCCTCGCCAGCACCCATCGGCCTGTTGGCCGTGCCAATGGATTTCTCACACAGCAGCTCCAGGGGCTGAAAGGAAAAAGTGACAGTGAGCTCTACCAGCTGCAGGGGACACCCCAAGACATCCTATCACTTTATAAAATGGGGTGGGTTCCCAGAGATTCAAAGCCAGCCAGTTACATGAAAATCCAACACAAGACACCGAGGCAGGGGTTAGACTAGACAACTTTATTTTTTTGTTGTTGACTTTTGGGGGATTTTTTTGAGACAAGGTTTTCTTGTAGCCCCAGCTAATCTGGAACTCGCTATGTAGATCAGGTTGGCCTCGATCTCAAAGATCCGCCTGCTTTTGTCTCCCGAATGTTGGGATTAAAGGCACACAGACTGAGCAAGAGTAACTTTTTCTGTCCCCAAACATGAAAATTTTTAGGCCACATGAGCCAAGAGGCAACACTTAAGGATCTAAGTGGGTAATAATGCTTAAAATGTAACTACTTAGCTGGGTGTCATGGCGCACACCTGTAGTCCCAGCACTTGGGAGGCAGAGGCAGGCGGATCTCTCTGAGTTCAAGACCAGCCTGGACTACATGGTGAGTTCTAGGACGGGGTACAGGGAGACCCTGTTTCAAAAAAAAAAAAAAAAGTACTTAAAAATATCCAAACATTCTTCATTGTTAGAACTGGCCACAGGCCCTGATCCACAGGTTGATCAAGAACACCAGCACATCCACTTTTATGGAATGAGTCTCAGAGTACTACCCAGCCAACTATCCCCCTCATATGAGCCTAGTCTTGCTCCTACTACCACCCAGGGTCTGATGCATCACAACAGCATATCACCCAAGAGCCACAATGAAAGGGCCCACCTGTGCACACACTATCCCCCCATAGCAACAAGGTGCCTCACCCATCCTCTGAGGGGACCCCAGGTGGGCACGCGGGTACACAAGTCCCTTAGGACACGGATGACAATGACGCATGACTTCAGCCCATTGGCTCTGGCCTAGAGGAAGAAAGCACAGGCTCTTCACACAAAGGCACCTCCGTAGAGAGCAGGCAAACATGAACAACATGAATCTCATGGTGCTGCTTTGCCAAGAGTAAACGGTCAGGGACGCAGCCACCAAGAGCGTGGCCAGGGCAATGCCCACATGTGTGGAACCTGTTACACTTAATGCAAAGCAGCAGCAGCAGCCCACTGCTCTGGCACAAGCCTCCTTGGGAGTAGTCAAGTCAAATTGGTTTAGGTGCGCTCTTTTAGCAGCTGCACGCCGCAGGTGCTAACAAGACCGGCAAGGCTACAGTCAATGTTATGACACTTTATGGTCAAAGTTAGCCATGGTACAACTTAGGCATTCTCTACCGAAAGACAAAGAGAAGAACAAAATGCAAACCTGGAACCACTTGGCGTGTCGGAGGGACGCCAAGGCAGCAAGGCATTTCTGCCTGTCCAGAACGTCCGGGGGGTCGTTGACTGATAGCGTTTCTATTCATGGATGGAATAAGAAGACAAGGCACAGTTTGACCAAGGGGTTCTGTCAGGTGGAAAGGGGATGTGGCAGCTTCCTAAAGGGCAGCTGAGTCTCCCACAATCTTAATTTGTCTCCGCCCTAGACCAGGGAAGGAGAGGCTAGAGTGCCGTCAGCTCTACTGACAGGAAGTCAGAAAAATTGGGAGGCCCTCTCCAAAAGAAAAAACAAAAACAAAAACAAAAACCAAACACAAACAAAACAAAACAAAATCAAAAGTTGCAAATTATTCTAAAAGGAATAATCCATGGGGAAGGGGGAAAGATAGGCTGACCCTATCTTCTAATAGATGCTTCCCTTGCTTCCTCCACATCAATTAGCTAGGCTGGAATTTAACAGGAAAAACAATAGCAACAACAAAAACAGAGGAGGAGGGAGAGGAAATGAACTCCCTTTCTGCTTCCCACAAACAGGCCTTAACCTGCGGCAGTGGGATTACCTACGCCCACCAGGCGGGACTGCCCTAGCCCCAGCCCTTGACAGAGAGATTCCTGTTGGTCAAAGGTCCAGCGTCCCTGAGTAGATAAGCTGAGAGGGTTTTGATCATTGGCATCGGATACACGTGCCAAAGGGAAATCAATATCAGCCTCTGCTGCAGCACAACCAGGGTGCCAGCTGGCTCTGCCAGCTATCAGAGATTTGGATAAGGCTTGAGACCAGTCCCAGGAATGCCCTGGGAAGACCAACAAACTGTAGATGCAATATTAACTCAGCACTCCACACCTGAGGTGCAAAGACTGGGTTGGAAGATAGTACAATGGTTTAAAACCTCATCCAAAACTCTGCTTAGGCTCCTGGTCTCTCAGATTCCAGGTGGGCCAGAGGTGCCAGGGGCAGAGATCAAACAAAGGCACCCTTGGTTGTACTGCAGGGCCAGCTGACCTCACAGCTCCTAGGTGACGTTCATGCACAAGCCATATGGTGGTTCTTAACCACTGCAACACTGGAAGATTACTGGGACACACTTTTCCAAGGCCAGAGAATGGTTCAACAAGTTTAACAACAAGGTTCAGCAACATTCCAGAGTAAGAGAAACAAAATGGTGCTCCCCCATGACAAGTGCTACTCACTTTTAGTGTCACTGTGTGGTCAGAACCCCAAGAGCTCAAGGCCAAGGGGGAGATCTGAGCTGAGCACAAAGGCACTCAGAGCTACACTAACACCCTTTACTCAAAGCAGTCTAAAACTGAATAGCACATTGTAGCTGTGAGGGACACCAGGTTTTCAACGTCCTGCTGGCCTATGGCGGCCTCCCTACCTCCAGCTAATACTTTCTCCATTTCTTCTCTGACAACAGGGGATGTCAGGTGGATGGTCAAGGACAAAGGGGGCTCTTTTGTGTTTTTTATCACAATCGCAGCATCATCCACAGACTGGAGTATTTCATACTTGTCTTCTGTTACAGTCTGGAGGGGAAAAAAAGGTAGCTTTCAAAACACCTTTTCTGCAGAACCATAAACAATTTTAACAAATTCCTCTGAGTCCTGGAGCAAAGGCCATCCTTTCTCAGGGTGCAACATGCCAGAAGGGCCTCTACCTGACTGCCAGGATCTTCCCTTGGCTGGCCAGGTCCTTGGGCATTTTCTGGGCACTCCAAGAGGAAGCCACTTACTATGTAGACAGGGCAGGTATTTCCACCAGAAGTGTTAAAACATAAAGGGAGCCATGTATAGTGACTCTGACCTGTCATACGAGCATCTAGGAGACTGAGACAGGAAGCAGGATGATTGCACCAACTTTAAGGCTAACACGGACTACAGAACAAGACTTTACGAGGGCTGGGAAGGACAAGGAACCAGTACCATGGCAGACTTGGGAGGGCAACACCAGAGGGTGACTTCAGCCCAGAAATTCAGGGTCAGACTAGGAAGCATCTCACCCTCAACACAGAGGCAGGAGGATACTGCAAACTTTGAGGCCAACCTAGTCTACAGAGTAAATTCAAGGCCAGTCAGAGCTAAATACTGAAAGCTTGTCTTCAAAAAAAAAAAAAGCAACAGAGAACTAGCCAGGAAGCCTCCCTGCTGGGATTTTCATAATCCCAGTACTCAAAATGCTGAGGTAGGAGATCTTTGGTTCAAGGCCAGCCTGCGCTACCAAGTGAGAACCCATTTCAAAACAAAAGTAAAACAAATTTCTTTGCTGAGTATGGCAGCTCACTTTTAATCTCAGCACTCAGGTGGAAGAGGCAGGCAGACCTCTGTGAGACGGAGGCCAGTCTGGTCTACATAGTGAGTTCCAGGCCAGCGAGGGCTACAGAGAGCCCTGTCTCAAAAAACCCACAACAAACTTTTCCTTCTCATTTTTTGAGGCAGGGCCTTGCCACTGCTGATATCCCCCTCCTAGCCTCCCAAATGTAGGTGTGCACCATCAACACAGCTCAACAGTGAGGATTCTAATTTGTAATGGACTCAGGACACCGACGTTTCCAGGCTACAGGACACATCACCCAGCTACTATGTGGGGTATACCCAGGGCAGAGCAGGTCCCCAGCCTGTGTTCCATGCTGAAGCAGCAGTCCCCAGACAGCAGGGAAGCAAGCCTTGCACACAGGGCACATCTCCCTGTAGGAGCAGCTCATGGGGAACAACCTTCCCTTCCTTCCTTCATAAGCTAGTTTATGACTGGCAAAAACTGCAGTTTCTTATACTATTTTTATTAAAGGAAATAATGTAGTTACATTGTACAGAGGATCCATGCCCTGTAAATACTAATCCGAAATTCGGATTTCTCAAGCTCAGCACAACTAACTTTCTGGGCCAGGTAACTCTAGCTGTAGAAGGCCCCTGTGGCATGACTATTCAGAAGCATCACAAGCCACCACTCATGAGGTCTCCAGATGACCACATGTTCCCACGAAGGAGCCCCCATTTGCTGTCAATCATGAAAGTGCCTTTCTGTGTGTGTTCAGGGTAGAAACCAGGGCCACAATATACTATGTGCAGCTACAAACATGCTCTGCCCAAGGCATAGCTCCACCATTATCCATTATCTCTGAGAAATTGCTTGTACATGGGTTCTTTCTTTGAAACATTTACACCCAATTTGTGTGACATGCTTTTGAGAAAAGGGTAATATTAATTGTGAAATTACATCCACAAAAAACCATGATGGCACGAAGCAGTTCCTTACTGCACCAGCTTCAGACCTCACAATCCTCACCTATCACGAAACTGTCAGTCTCAAGTGATATAGTGTTTGATGTACAAAGGGGTTTTTCTTTGTAAAGTACCAAGGCTTAAAAAGTGACTTTCTCCACCAGGCATGGTGGTGCATGCCTTTAATCCCAGTACTGGAGAGGCAGAGGCAGGCAGATCTCTGTGAGTTCCAGGCTAGCTGGAGCTACAGGGAGACCCTGTCTCAAAAAGACAAAAGGAAAAAAAAAAAAAAAAGTGACCTTCTCTATTTGCCTGTCTTGTATATCTGGGGGGGACCATTCTAGAAATGCAGCACATGGTGGCAATACACAGAAGTTCTACTAGCTCTAGCTGCCTAGCTGGGGACCTTGGGATCAGCTGCCTGCACTTCAGACCCATGGGCCTTCCTGGGGCAACAAGTAAGAGCCCTCAGCAGGGAACTGGGGCAGCTCACCCCTATAGTCCTAGCATTCTAGAGGCAGAAAGGAGATGTCAAGGCCAGACTAGGCTACAAGAGACTTTCTCAAAAGACAGGAAGGGGCAGGGAAATAGAGAGGAAAAGACTCAAAAAACAAGAGCTAGGCATGGTGGCTCACACATTTAATTCCAGCACTCGGGAGGCAGAGGCAGGTGGATTCAACAAAGTTCCAGGCCAGACAGTGCCACATAGTGAGAACCTATATGAGAGCAAGAGCAAGAACTAACCTAAGACTTGCTTAGTGAATGCTCAATTAATGTCAAAGACCATTACTTATGCAAGAATTTAAACAGAACAAATTATGTTTTAGTTTATTTTTTTTGAGTCAGTGTCTCCCCCTCTGTGGCCCAGGCTGGACCTGAACATATGTTAATCTTCCCAACTCAGCCACCTGAGTGCTGGGATCACAGGCATGCACCACCATGATCAGACTGTTGCTGTTTTTCCTTTCTTTTAACTCTGCCGCTGAGCTACAGACCCAGCCAGACAAGTGGAATTCTAAGTATGCCCAGGTCTAACTCCATCCCATGCAACCCATGTGACATTCCCAGTATAATGGTCAAAACTTGGTATATGGAGCTCACTATCTATCTGGCAGAGTGGGTACCACCATAGACAGCAGGTGTTTTCCCACAGACCCTCAGTAGCTCTGTGGTGTTCTGCCCGCTACCAACAGAGAAGGTGTACACATGGCGGGTTCAGGGTGGAGGCTGCTTCCTGGCACATAGCACAGGTGAGCCCTCCCTTCCTCTCTGACCTCCACAAGCACTTAGGCTCCCTCTGGCATGGTCATCACTCACAGTGAGCTGGATGGCCAGGTTGTCAGCCACCTTGTCCAGAAGGGCAGTTGTGGGCTTCTCCTTACAGAGCAGAACCAGCTCCAGATCCAGGTCCCCCTTGAGCAGAAGACCCTTGGCTACCAGGCCGACCCGCATCACACCCCTCAGGGTCCTAGTCATGTGTTCCGCCTTCTGTTCCCTGAGAGATAAAAATCATCAAACTCAATAGGAAATCAGTCTTATCAGAACACAAGGAGGCTGGCACTTTTAGAAAAACAGGTAAGGGGCTTGAGCAATAGCTCAGGGTTAAGCACTGGCTGCTCTTGCAGAGGACTGGGGTTTGGTTCCCAGCACTGTTTATAACTCCAGTTCCAAAGGATCCAATACCCTCTTCTGGCTTCCAGAGGCAATGTAGGTATGTGGTACACAACATATGTGCACATAAAACACTTGTACACATAAAATTAAAAATAAATCTATAGAAAAAGAGGTATTCGCTTAGCAGCACCACATGGTGACACAGGCATGTAATCCCAGCACTTAAGACGGTTGAAGCAGCTGGGCATGGTAGCATATACTTTTAATCCCAGCACTTGGGAGGCAGAGGCAGATGGACTCTGTGAGTTCAAGACCAGCTTGGTCTACACAGCGACTTCCAGGCCAACTGGGGTTACAGGGAGACCCTGTCTCAAAAAAAAAAAAAGGTTGAAGCAGTAGAGTCTGTGAGTTTGAGGTCATTCTGAGCTACAATGTAAGTTTGAGGTCTGAAGTGAGACCCCATCACAAAAAACACAGAGCCTTGGCTACATGGTGAACTCAATGCCTTCAGTCTCAGCACTCAGGAGACAGTGGCAGGTGGATCTCTGTGAGTTCCAGGCCAGCGGGGGCTATAGGGAGACCTTGCTTTAAAAAACCACCGCCCCCCACAAAAAAACCTGAACCCTGGCCTCAGTACATCAGCACACAGCCTCAGACTCACCCAGTCCCTTCTTTGCTCTCATCATCGGGGGGCGCATCCATATTTTCGGCATCAGAGGGTTCACTGCTGCCCTTCTCCTGCTCGTCAATCCAATCAGATACGGCCTTGAGGGCCCGTTCAGTGTGGGAAACCATGTTCTGCACAGCCTCCAGCTCCTCTTGTGTTGGGTACACTGAAGAATGCTTTGCCATCACATGGCGATCATCATTCACAAAAATTCTCATGGGACGCTGGAAATGTGAAAACTACGCTAAAAATGATGGCAGCACAGCCAGCAGCCCACCCTGATTCACCTGTACCATCCTTCACAGAAAGACACTATGGGATTGGCCACGGCCCAAGAGGGCTCCAAGCGCGGGAGGATGGGGAGCTTTACGCATCTCTACACTACAGTAGTCCCCCCTTATCCGCGGGGTACACATTCCAAGACCCCAGTGGATGCTTTAAACCGCGGACAGCAAACCCATCAGAGGCTTGGCTGTGCCTGTACGCACAGTGTGTGGTACATCAGGCAGAGAGGGGCTGAGCAGAGCTATACAGCGAGTCTCCCTCGAGCAGCTCATCGTCCATCCGTACTCACCCTTCTTCTTCTTGTGATGAAGTGATGATGGTACAATGCCTACGTGATGAGATGAAGTGAGGTGAATGACGCAGGCATCGGGAGGACGTGCAACTTAAAACTTAGCAATTGTTTCTTTCTGAAAATTTCCTCTTAAGAATTTCAGACTGCGGTGGACCGCAGGTAACTGAAACCGCGGGAAGTAAGAGCACGGCTAAGGGGGGACTACTGTATTCAAATCATGACGCATACTGTTTTTAATAGTTCAAGTGTCAAAGACAAAATGGTATCAGGATCAAACACTTTGGGGGAACGTTACGAACATTTTCATATATAACAGAGTCTGTGACCAAAGAAAAAAACCGTCTTACCATTTTTCCTGCTTTTCCTCTAGTGCCTGGGAATCAAGCTGGCTTATCTTTTCAAACAGGGACAGCTTTGCTTGGTGTTATCAATACTTCAACTATCTATAAGACCAGAAAAGCCTTTTAGTTTCAAATACTCCAGAGAGTAACCTCAGTGGTCAGACACAGCTAGTAAGGATGTGGGGTCATCTTGTCAACAGTCTGCTGGCAGTAGGACATATCTGTCCTCCTGGCACATCTGTTCTCCCAAGCAATGGCCAGGCCAAGGCACAAAACTCACCCCAAGTTCCCTTCAGATGATCACAACAGCTTCCGTAAGTCAAGTCTGGATGTAGCCACACATTCAAGTGGTTTTACTTCCTTTTCTATCCTATCATCATCCCTCACAATACAGCATACAAATTGGGGGGAAGGCAGTGAGTTAAGATGGGTTTCATTTTCCCCAGCTGGCTTGTAACTCCCAATCCCCCTGTCTCCACCTAACAAATGCCAGGACAACAAGCACATGACACCAAGTCCAGCTTTTCTTCTTCTTTTTTTTTTTAAATTTTGCTTCATCTTTTTTACTTTTTGCAGACACACTTAGTGAGCACAAGCCACCATTAGCCAACCAATAGCCATGCCCACAACCCTAAATGAGCCAATTTTGTGTTTATGTGTGTGTGGTATATACACACCAGAGGATACTGGGTATCCTCTATCATTCCCCACTTTATCTCCTTGCAAAAAAAACAAAATCTCACTGAATGTGGAGCTAGGCTGGCAATTGGCACGTCCCAGGGATCCTCCCTTATAGTCTGACATAAGACCACGTCCAGCTAGGGATTCGAACTCAGGACTTCATGCTTGCACAGCAAGTGCTCTTACCACTGAGTCATCTCTCCAACTCCCCAACCAACAGATTGGTTTTGTCATGTGGGATATCATGCAGGCAAGGCTCATAACGAATATGTTATAGAGCTAAGGATAATCTTGAATTCCTTACCCTCCTCTGCCTCCATCTTATACCTTACACAAGTGGTACACTTACATGCAGGCAAAGCATTCAAACACATAATAAAAATAAATAAAATTGCTTTTAAAATTAAAAATACATATCAGAAACCCTAAAAATAAAAAAATAAAAATTAAATTACAAAATACAAAAAACTTAAAAAATATAATGACTCAAACTAGGGGAAAGTTAAAAAAAACCTGACGGGATGACTTAATTTACCTACTCAAATCTATTTCAGATAAATTTGTGGCTGAAATTAATGCCCAGCATTTGTCCTGAAGTACTCTAGGGACACAAATGCAGAAGGATGAAACAGTCTGCAAGGTGCTGACAGCTGCTGAATCTACGAGATGGACATTCTTGTGCTCTTTTGGGAAGTTCAATAACGGGTCTTTTTTCTGTTCTGTAGTACTGGAGATGGAACTCAGGGTCTTAGGCGCTGCACAAGGACCCTGCCACTGAGCCATACTACCAGCCTTTTCCTTTTTATTTTCAAACAGGAGTTGTGCTACGTTCCCCAGGCTGGTCTTCAACTCACCGCCCTCCTACCTCAGCCTCCCAGAGTGCTAGGATTATGGGTGTGCACCACCACACACCACTAATTTATTGATTTATTTTATGTGTATGTTTTGCCTGCTTGTATGAAAGCACACCCATAGTGTGTGATGTCTGTGAAGGACAGAAGAGGGCATCAGATCCCTTGGAACTGGAGTTACAGATGGTTGTTAGTAGCCATGTTTTTGCTGGGAACCAAATCCAGGTCCTCTGTAAAAGAAGTCAGCACTCTTTAACTGTTGAGCCAGCTCTACAGCACCAATAATTTATTTTTAATGAACAGACATAGGTATTCTTACAAACACAGAGCCAATAGTAACTAAAGAACACGTCAAAGTCTCGAGAAACCAACGAGATCCAGACCCAGTCATCAGCTATAGCTGTCATCCCAAGTCCCATGTACACAGCCACCAACCCAGCCAAATATTCGCTGATACCTCATAAATCAAGAAGCTGCTATTTAAAGGGGTGTTTGTGTGTGCACCTGCACATGGAGGCCAGAGGACAAATTTGGGTATGCGTCTTTAGGGACTGTCCACCTACCTTTTTTGTTTTTGTTTACATTATGAGTCAGGGTATCACTATGTAGCCCAGGTTAGCCTGTAACTCAGGCTGGTATTGAACTTGAAGATCTGCCTGCCTCTGCCTCCCAAGTGCTCTGATTAAAGGAGTGTTCCTCTACAGCCTGATGTTTAACAATTAGGCTAGGAGGGCTGGCCAGCAAGCCCTAGGGATCTGCCTGTCCCCAATTCCCCAGAGCTGGAATTGCAAGTATATAACACTACATCTGGCCTTTAAAAACAAAAATGGCTTCTGGGGATCGAACTCAGATAAAGTCAGGTTTCTCCTTGAAGAAACTTTACCAACAGAGCCATCTCTAAATGGCCCCCAAAACAAATTTATTTATTCAACAAGTATTTGGTAGAACTGGGCTCATCAGTGGGTCAATGATATGACAAAGCACACTAATCTCTTCCTAACTAGTCCTAACTTGGCCACCTAATGCACACAAAAGGAAAAAAATACTCCTTCCCTCCAAGCTCAGTGCTGTGCCAGGATCCAATGCTTCACTCCTCACACTGGGGGGCAGGCACAGGTAGATCTTTGTTGAGTTGGAGGCCAGCCTGTTCTATATAGTGAGTTTCAGGACAGCCAGAGCTATATAGTAAGACTCGGTCTCAAAAAACAAAAACAAATTCGGAGCATGGTGGCATACATCTTTAATCCCTGTGAGATTAAGGCCAGTCTGGTTACATAGTGAGTTCCAGGCCAGGTGTGGTGGCTACAGAGACTCTCTCTCAAAAAAAAAAAAAAAAAACCCCACCAGCCAAGTAGCCAGTGACATAGCTCAGTGGGTAAAGTTAAGTCTCATGACCTGATTTTGAATACCAGAACCTGCATAAAAAGTGAGAGAACAGATTCCACCAAGTTACCCTCAGATCTTCATCCACTAGGACCCACTTGCACCCTTCCCACACATCATGAACGCACACAATAAATGAAATTTGGGGCTGGAGAGATGGTTCAGCAATTAAGAGTACTAGCTGCTCCTGCAGAGGACCCAGATTAAGTTTCCAGCACGCACATGGCAGCTAACAACCATCTGTAACTACAGTTCCAGGGGAATACAACACCGTCCTCTGACCTCCTGGGGCAGTGCACACACAGGTGCACTTACACACATGCAAGCAATTCACTCACACACATTAAAAAAATAATAATAAAAATAAAATTCAGCAAGTAAGAGTACTAGCTGCTCCTGCAGAGGACCCAGATTAAGTTTCCAGCACGCACATGGCAGCTAACAACCATCTGTAACTACAGTTCCAGGGGAATACAACACCGTCCTCTGACCTCCTGGGGCAGTGCACACACAGGTGCACTTACACACATGCAAGCAATTCACTCACACACATTAAA